CATTGCTTGGCCAATGTGCTCTCTGTGAAAGCCTGAGAGAATGTTTTCTCTCCATGTGACTCTCCTTAGGCACACTCTACATCATCGAGGTGATCTTCATTGAGGAGAGTCTTTGTTAGGCAGAACTCAGCACTTTTCATTAGCGTTATCTCAGTTAATCAGTGTATCACTGTTGCCTCTTCAGGGTTCATAGTGCCTGTCTAAGGCAACACAGATCATATGCAATGATGTCTAGAATACTCATTTTCTTTTTTATTCAATACTAGGGGTTGAATCCAGGGCCTTCACACTGAATTACAGCCCCAACCCTTTTCTTTTCTTTTTCTTCTTGTTTTGAGACAGGTTCTCACCAAGCCACTAAGTAACACAAGTTAGGCTCCAACTTGCAATCCTCCTGCCTCAGCCTCCCAAGGGCCTGGGATTCAAGGCCTTTGCTGAAATGCCTGCACAAAGATGAGGAAGGTCAAGAGCCTTGCACAGGTTTTAATGTTCCCAGTGGTAATTGTACTGCTGAATAGGGATGTGACCTCTTCTTGGAGCATAGAGGCACCAGGACAGCTAATCATGGGTGATGGAGGCAGGGCTTAGGAGAAGAGAGTGAACACAGATGCAGAATGAGAGTGACAGAGTAATAGAAGAGAAAGCTGAGGAAATTACACCAAGTCAGAAGTCGTGATCCTTAACTGTGATGAGTCAGCTTGCCCTGGGTAGGAGTCACCTAGCAGATTAGAAGTCTTGGGTGTGTCTGTGGATGGCTGATGTGCAGACCACAGATCAAGGAGGGGAAGCTTGCTCCTGAGGAGGATGGCACCAACCAACAAGCTTGTAGTCTGGATGGAAGAAAAAGAAGCAAAGAAGAAAGTCTCTCCTTTTTCTTCAGAAGAGCTCCAGTCTTCACTGTTGTCTCTGGACTTTGTTCTCCATTTCTTCCAGGCTTTCATCCCATATTCTTCAGTCTTCCAACACAGAGACCTTGTAGCTTGCAAATGCAGACTCACACCAGTAACTCTGTGGTAAGCTTCTAGGCCTTCACTGGATCCTCTGGCTCCGCAGTACATGGGCGGCCATTTTGGATTCTTCTGCCATGGATGACCATTGGGACCCTTCACCTTCCGAGCTTGTAGGCCTGCCTAATAAATCCTTTGTATAGTTATACACATATTTTATATTGATTTTGTCCTCTGTGAGCCCTGATGCAGGGGTCAAGAGCAATATGTGGAAACAGTGTCATAGCCATTAGGAAAACTAGAAGATTTTAAATAAAGGAGAAAACACATAAAACACTGACCCAGAAAGACAAATCTTTTCAGAGTATACAAATTTTTTTTCACTTTTATGGGCCGTATATTTATAACTGATGAAAAGTATGTATTCCTTATAGAGATGAAATATCTAACAGGAAACTGTGAAAACCTTTCCAAAGAAAATTCAAAGATATAAGTACCTGTATTTACTGAATGGTTCACTGAGGGATCCATTGAGCATCACTTGGGCCACGCCACAGGCAGACTCTGCAAACTTGAAAGAAAAAAATGCTCACCATTCCTCAGTAAAAGATCTTGGTCACCATTCCCCAGAAGCTGCATCTCCCATGGAACTTAGGGTTAGCTGGAGTAGGAGGGAGCAGCCCTTGTGGGTTTAGCACCAGAATGCCAGGTCTGTAGAGCTGCCGTTCCAGTACACTGGGGCAATCATGCTTCAAAACATCAGAGTTCTTGAAGCAGTTGCTCCAATTGGTGAGTGTTCAAAGAACTTCAACGGCATTGTTCACAGGGTTGCTAGGTTCAGAGAAGGAAGTCCAGAGGAGGAAAAGGAATGTCCCAAAAAGAGGAAAATGAACATGCTTTCCTAGCATCATACACAGAGAACACTGAATTTTATCTAGAAGATAGAAGATGTACAATTTAGGATGAGAGAATGTAAACTCAGGAGAGACAAAGTGACCCTGAGGTCCAAAAAGGTACTAAAAGAAGAGAATGGATGAATGAATAAATAAATGAATGAACGAGTGCATGCAACTGAGCAAGAAATTTTACCTGTTCATGCAACAGATATTCAGCTGAAACATTTGCTAAGTCTGGAAGAAACAACATGAACAAAACAAAACAAAATTTATAGCTTCCTCCAAGAGATACAGCAGAACAACTGTGTGGGAGGCTGCCAAGCCGCACTCTCTTGAGAAATGAAGTCCCTTGCCTCCATTTTTCCCTGGCCTTTCCTCAACCCCTACTCACTGAGAAATGCAGAGCTTTTGTATGGAACCAGACGTTCCCCTTATTGGCTAAAAGAATGCGACTATGTCTGGCCAAGAAGCCAACACACCTCACTACAGCCCATGGGCAAGGATTACCCCTGCTGATGGCTCCAATGGGGGCTCAAACAGGAGCCCGTGAGATCCGAGGGCTGTCTCAGCTACTGTTCTCTCATTGCTGGGACAAAATACCCAACACATGAACTTAAAGGAAGAAAGGTTTATCTAGCTCACCGTTAGCGGAGGTTTCTGCCCACACACCGCTGACTCCGAGGCAGACTGTCCCGTGGAAGAGGGCAGCAGTTCATGGTGGCAGAAAGCAGCAAAGAGCAAAGGGCAGAGCAGCAGCAGCTGCCTCCCTCCTTTCCTTATATTATAAGCAGGCTACGCTGAGGTGGGGGTGTGGAAGTCACATGCTCTCCATGCCCTCCTCTTGCATAGGATGAGGATCTTCACAAAGCAAGAACCTTGGCTCCCTACTGAGTCCCTTAATTAAACTTCTAAACGTCTGAAGTTGACAATATGTCAGCCACTACAAGGGCCACAACATGAGGTAACATCTTAGCTGAGGACATGGGACTCAGGAAGGATTACACCTCTTTGTCAGTAGAGGTGCCAGCTTCACACACGTGAAACTATCTGCTACATTGTTACATTGGAGGCCTTTGTGCCTGGTGCAAAATTGCTGTTTCTCATTACAGCCAGTGCCTGCAAAGTTTCTTTTTCCTAGTACTCAGCCTCTAACACCACCCACCTCCCTGACTGAAATTAATAAAAACCATAAGCTTTTGGACTCATGGCCTTTTGTTCCACAGAGAAAATTGCTGATCCCAGAGTTCCTCAACTGCAGACTATTCTCTCTTTGTCCTTCTTTTGCATCTATGTGCCATTTAGCGAGATGGGAGACCTAACCCCTCTGCCTGGGGCTTTGGCACTACTGAGACACACTTAGGTTTCCTTTTCTGAATCCTTACCCATCTCCTTCACCTTGCCTAACTCTATGGCATTTTAGTGATGAGCTAATGCATCTTGTTGGGATCTGAAGGCCTTCTTTTCCTGGTCACCTCCACAGCCCTGAGTGGCTTGTCCCTAGTATATGGCTCAGAGTGAATGCCCAATAAAAATGCAAGAAGGAAAAGAGGAAGGAAAGAGAATGGGGAAGCAGGAAACAAAAAATGAGGTCACCTGTGGAAGAGACTAGGCAAGAACAGGCAAGTATCTTGGAAGGCACAAAAGCCACATCGCAAAGAAAGAACACACCTTCCGTGAGTGTAGGTTGAGGCCACAGTGACTGGAGGGCTAAGGATCAAAGAAAGCAGCAGTGTCTGGGGGTCCCCTTAGTGGATGCTGAGGTGACGTAGAAAAGTTTGCCCATGGAGCACCACAGATGCTTTGCCAACATAAACTTTATTCTGGACTTTATTTTGTAGGTGACATGGACATACCTGATCAATTTCAAACTGACTTGTGAAACTCAGTGCTGCTCTATGTTGTCACTGGCAGAGTGAGTGGGGGGAGGACAGAGGCTCAATAGTTATGTCCACTCACAAATGCTGAGCGCTCACAGAACGCCACACGTGGACCACCAACGTAAGAGTCCTCACAGATAAATGTTAGGCCAATGGCTCATGACTCAGAGACAAGAGTGAGAGGTAACCAAGCAGCATTGTCCCTACTGTCAGAAAAAGAGGGACTAGTCTCACAAAGAAGTCATCTGCACACACCCTTCAGTTCTCCCAAAGGTAATGGTGTAGGCTTCACAGCAGCTGACAATCTGGTCCCCCCTCAGAGGACACAGGAAGCCTCAGTGCATATAAAGTGTCACTCAGCTTTGCAAACGTGCAGCAACAGCACTGCCCCAAAGCATATTATAGAATGATGCAATAGAAACTATTCTTAGTTAAAGCAAACAGACAAATAATAAATGCATTTCTGTCACTTTTCACAGCACCTCAACAAAGATTTGTGAAACAGGCGAGTCCTGAGTTACTCGTCAGGACAGTGGCATTGTATCTAATGCATGTTTTGAACAAATGAGGAATTGGAAGGTTAAGTAATCTGAACAAGTTGGTTTTGGAAGGTTTGTTGTGATTTGTCCTACTAGGAATTAAGTTTGTACTGACCCACATTTCCAGTTTTTAAAAAAAAAAATTTATTTTTAAACAGAGCTTTTCTAAATCCTAAACTGCACAGGCTGGGCTCACACTTGTAATTGTACTGTCTCAGCCTCCCAGAGAGCTGAGATTACAAGTTTATATCACTTTGCTCAGCTAAATTGGCCCAAGTTTCAACTCTCAGTCTGTGTGCTTTTTTCTTCTTTTCCTGAATCTCCTTGATGTAGTTGAGTTTGGTACCAAAAGGGAGTTAAAGGCCATCAGACCTTCCAATAAGCAGATTCACCAAGAAAAAATAGTAATTGAAGAGCACTGCTTTGGAACCAGGCATGGAGGTCTGACTCTTTCAGCTCTTCTACCTGTTAGCCACTGACCTTGGCTCAGTCATTTAAGTCTTAGCTTCTTCACCTTTAACGTACAGATTTGTTCCTTCCCACTCTGCCTACCAGGAGAACTTATTGGGAATGACTTAGAGAAGGCATCTCATGGCTTGTCACACAAGAAATACACCAGCTCCCCTGCAGCAGTTTAGATATAGGCACCCATCCACCTTGCCACCTGCCTCTGTTGATAAGACCCAGGGTGGCGGTATTAGAAGGTGGGCCTTCTGGAAGCGATTAAGCCATAAGGGTCCTACTTATATGAATAGGACTAGAGCCCATATGAAAGGGCTCACAGGAACTATGGAGGCCTTTCCACCCTCCTGTCTTCTGCCACCTGAGACTGTAGCAACAGGGTGACATCTTGGAATCAGAGAGCAGCCTTCACTCATCATCAGATATGCTGGCTTTTTTTTTAATGTATTTAGTACAGAGTCTACAGGGTCTCACTAAGTAGATTGGATTTGTAGTGATTCTCTTGTTTTTAGCCTCCCAAGCACTGGGATTATAAACTCGTGCCACCACGCCTGGTCTCAATAGCCTTCTCAGCGCACCTCGGGGGTGGGGCTGGCATGGTATGCAGAGGATCAAACCCCAGCCGCTGTGCTCTGCCTAAACAGGCGCTTTAGTCTGCTGAGCTATCTGACCATCCCTAATATGCTGGCTTTTTGACCTTGGACTTCCCTGCCTGCAGATTATGATAATTCTGTAAATTATCTATGTAATTTTATTTAAAAAAAAAACAGATATTTTATAAAAGCAACACAAATGGACTAAACATCTTCACTTACATATATAATTTTCTACTTGGCCTGTCCTTATCCTCAGATATCTAAGTTTAATTTTAAGCCTTGCAATTAGTATATTTTTACTTTCTTCCTCTTCTTTTTTTTTTCTCAATTCTTTTCATCTAATCCACTCAAAAATAAGTTCCACTTTGCTCATTTGCAAGGAAGCAACTTATAAGAAAAAGGACTATGCACAGGCAGTTTCAGGTGAAGACAGAGAATGCACGAGAGTGCTGATATTTCTTCACTCAAATTCTGGTTCTGGAGTTAGATCAGTTGGGATAAGCTCCCAAAGCTCCCTGGGCACACGCAGCACATGGCTTGTGTTGCGGAAGACGACGCTGTCCCTCTGCTTGGCCGCCTGACAGGCATGATATCTATAGTACTTTCAACTCATGTAAAGAGGTGAGCTCACAGTAAATAACCTATAAATCTTAGATTAATAATACTATTCAAGGAATCTAATCAACACATGGATCAAAGAACTGAACTTAGCCCTGACTACCTTGCACCCACAGCCAAAGTAATGGGTAGGAGCCTGGAGCCCTTCCACAAACACTGTAATCTTATACGTGCGCGCCTAGTGCCATGTGCTCCCAAGCTGCTGCCACGTGCTCCCAAGCCTTTTTCTCAGGAAAGACTCCTACAGCCTTTGCACTCCTGCTACGATCTGTGACCCACTTAGTAGATGCCATCCTTTAAGCCTGCACCCCAATATTCTAGAACTGTCATGCTGTTGCTTACCTTCTGGGAAATCACATTCCAGAACACTGAGACAGGGTTGCTGGGGCATTCATGCCAGTGTGGGCAAGATTGATGGTTCAATTCTAAAAGACATCGTGCATAGAAAATAATTAAAATGCAAAAGAACTATGAGGAAGCCCCATTCTTCCCTGGCTTTTGAATCACAGTAGAAATCATTTTCCAACAGCACCACTGCCAAGATGGAAGCCGGGAAAGGGACATGTCTCCGCTCAATTTAACTAATGTGCCCTGAAGCCCTTCCAAGTCCTTACCTTCCCCTCCAGATCCCAGGTGGGAACACAGGGACAGGCTTGAGTCATCATCCTTGGAAACAGCAGTGAAAATTCACCCAACAGAAATAAGCCTCTATCCCTTTTCCTGAGTCCCAAAAGAATCAGATGTAAAACTGGCAAAAACACTTCTCTGCTTCTGGACAGCTTTCTCTCGTGGCGTTTCCTTCCCACCTCCCCAAAGCCTCGCCTCCCTGGGCTCAGAGGGCTACAGAGGCTTTCTCCACTCTCTTCCACCAACACAGGCTCAGCCCTCAAGGGAGGAGGAGCACAGAGCATGGACACAGCTGTGCCACTTCCTTCAAGGGCCCTGTTCCTCCATGTGACTGCATCCAAGTGGTAAGGCTTCAGGAAGCATTTGGGATCGTGAGGGATCTTCCCTGGTGAATGCTGCTTTTGTGGCCATATTGGGTTTGTTCTCTCTAGACTGAATCAAGTTTCATGGGACCAAACTGGCTCCCACCAAAGTGGATGGTTAGAAAACAAGGTCTGCTTTCCCAGCTCTTACCCTTCCTTCCCTTCTGCTTGTGCCAGTGCCTACTCTTGCATGAAGTCATGCTATGTGCCATCGTCCACCACGCTGTGAGGCGACTTGAGGCCCAGGCCAGGTATAGTCACTCAACTTCACCTCCAGAAGGGTGAGCCAGAATCCATCTATTTCCTTTAGTAGGTGCCCTGCCTCAGGAACTTTGCCACAACAATGCAAAAGGGGCTAAGAAAGCCAGGTAGGAGAGAGCCGTGAAGAGGAGCCCTTGGAGCCCCAGAAGTCAGACAGTATGGCAGTTGCCTGTTTCTTCCATAGCTATTTGTTTAGCTGACCCTAAAGAAATGCTACCATTCTCCTTCCCCCAAAAGTAATTATTACTTCTAATTTATGGGCTGAAAAGTGCTCCATCCCACCCTATCAAGAGATATTAAATCCTAACCCATGGTACATGTGATCTGACATTATTTGAAAACAGAATCTTTATAGATACAATTCAGTTAAGATGAGGCCAAAAAGTTTGGTTGGCCATCGTCTGATATGATTTGTATGCTTAGAATAGGGGGAAATTGAGACAGAAAGACAGATATTCACAGAGATCAGGTGATGTGCAGACACACCAGGAGAGTGCAGACATGTGATGACAGTGATACACATACAGAGAAACGCATGTACACGCCAAGGTTCTGTTGACCCTGTCTCCAAGACACACACACACACACACACACACACACACACACACACGCATGCACATGCATATGCACACACATGCCTCAGGACCTGATGGCTTTGCTGCTGTATTCTATCAAATATTTAAAGAACTAGTACCACTCCTTAAACTTCCAAAAGTTGAAGAGGAGGGATACTTCCAAACTCTTTCCTCAAGACCAGCATTATCCTGATAGCACACCAGACAAGAATATTACAAGAAAATAAATTAGAAAGCCAATATCTGTAATGAACACAAGTGCAAAAAACCACAACAGTACATTAGCAAACTGAACTCAAGAACATATGAATATGACAACCATGATGCTCAGGTGGGATTTATCCTTGGGCTGTAAGAATGGCTCAATTTACACAAATCAATAAATGTGACAAATCACATTAACAGAAAGAAGGACAAAACCACATAATCATATGATTGAATACAGAAACGCCATTTGACGTAACTCAACATCCTTTCATAATAAATGACTCACCAGTCACCTGGAGAGAAAATATTCTCTCAGGCTTTCACAGAGAGCACACTGGCCAAGCAATGGCCGTGACTCATCCACATGGCTGACACTGACAAAGGTTCTACAATCTGAGGTACAGGATCTCAGGATAAATCCTGAGGGGATTTCACTGACCTTATCAGACCAAAAAGCTACAACTCTTGTTGCATAGGTCCTGCTTTACCTTGGTCTTAACCATCCAACAGAAAAGTATAAAAATGAAATATAAGAAGTAAAGCCATGCTGTTATGCTGAGCTGTAGGGAACTCAGATCAACAATTTCTGACATTGCCAGTCAAACGGAAGACCCAATACTATTATAGACTACTGGACTCTTTTAGAATATTTTGCTGAGTTTACACACCTATAATACTCAAATAACGGAACTAAACAAAAAAAGGGAATACAGATGAATGTCCATTTTGTATCTGTGTATTCAAAATGGTTAGGATAGATATATAGTTACATTCTCTTAATGAATACAGAAATTTGTTCTAATAGAGTTTGTAAATAGGTTATCATGTCCGCATCTTGTACAGCAAATAACCACTAGGAAGAATGTATGCAGTGTGCTAATTATTGAAACTGTCCTACCAATTTGGTTTGAAACTGTCTCATCGCTATTTGTTTATCAATAAAATTATGGGAAAAAATAAAAATATTGTTAGGAAATATTGGGAAAAAATAAATGACTCACCAAATTAGATAATGAAGGACTGTATCTCAATCCAAAGCTAATTATATACTCACTTATTAAAAATCCACAAACTTTCTTCTAAGATCTGGAAAAGAAAAGGAGTTCTACTCTATTTCTATTCCTATTCCACACAGTATTAAAAGCTCTAGCCACAGCAATTAGCCAAAAGGAATAAAGAAATAAAAGCATCCAAATCGGAAAGGAAAAAGTGGAATTGCCACTGCTTGCTGATAACGTAATTGTGTACACAAAGCCTAAAATGCCACCAAAACCTGTTAGAACTATTAAGTAAAATAAAGCTGCAGGAGACAAAATTGACACTCACACATTGGGAGTGTTTCTATGCAGTTGCAACTATCTTTTAAAAAAAATAGAAATCAAGAGGACAATTCTGTTTTAAAATAGCTACAATACAATAAAATACTAATGAGTTCACCAAGGAAGGTAAAACCATAAAATACTGAGGAAGGAAATTGAAGACAGAAATAAATGGAAAGATGTCTTGCATTAATGAATTAGAAGAACTAATGTTGTTAAAAATGCCCTTATTACTTAGAATGATCTAAAGATGCAATGCAATCTCTATCAAAATTCTAATGTCACTTTTATAAAAATAGATTAAACAATCCTCAAGTTCACATAGAAACATAAAAGACCCCAATTAGCCAAAGAAATTATGAACAAAATGACAAACCTGAAAGCCTGATACTATGAAGCAATAGTAATTAAAACAGCTTAGTTCTATGGAAGATAGACATATCAACCAGCCGCACAAAACAACAAGCCCGGAAATGAACTCATGCATATAAAGTCAACTGGGTTCCAACAAGGGTGCTAAAATGACACAATAGGAAAAGGGCCCTTCAGTAAATCCTGTTGGGAAAACTAAATTTCCAGAAGAATGAAATTAGA